ATTTTGCTCGACACCGATCGAAAGCGAAAAAATAAATGTTTCCGTGCCGCCGACGAGTGCACGCGCGCGTTCGCGTACGAGCTGTCCGAATCGCGAAGTCATCTCGCTCCGCGCACTACACACGACCAGTTATGTGTACGAACGCTGCTCGGAAATCTTCGCTTTCACAAATAAACGATATTCGGACAGACGAATTGCTCGGATCTCGCTCGTAGTAACGGCAACGTACCAAGAAAGAATGAAGCTTAATTAATGGAAACAATGCTCGACGGACAAGAGCCTAATTTCGTTTCGCCCGTAGGTCTGCGCACGCAAACTTTTCCAAAGAGAAAATTCGGTATAATTTATACATTTTTAACGCTCTTATTACCAAAGAAATATTTTGCGCAATGGGAGACGCGGACTTGTCGTGAACGTCGCGCACCGCCGTTCCACCGGCGCGACTCGTTCGTCGAACATTCGACTTTTACAAGAACTGTTCGCCGTTACCGTTCCGCAAAACGGTCCACGGTCCGCGTACGAGCACCCGCGTATTATCTTATCCCGGCGACGGTGCATCGAATCGCAAAAGGTTACTAGGTTTCGCGTTACGCAACCGTGCAGTCGCACCTTCCACCGGGGTGCCGACTCTTCTCGCCAGGGACCAGTCGTTGTCCGAGCGAACTTCGAGCTGCTCGAAATTCGAGTCGAACGCTCGATAAAATCGAATCGGAAACATTCTGTTGCATGCGATCGTCGAGAGAGGCTCGTGACTCGCGGCTCGCGGCTCGTGGCTCGCGGCTCGTGGCTCGTGGCTCGTGGCTCGTGCAAAACGTCCGGAGAAGATGACTGATCGATTCATAAGTCAGGATTACATTACAGAACGAAGAGCGGTGTGTTATTACGCGTGCTCTTGTATAATGCAACATCGCGGAGCAATTATTTCCGAGCGAACAGCAATTTCCTCCTCGAACGATAAACGAAAATAAAAACGAAACGAAACGATCGAAAATCGTTCGATGATTTGGCGATCGCGCGGCTAAATCCGTTCTCGTCCGCTCGCCTTTCGAACGACTTCGTTTCGACTCGACGATGATCGAGTTTATCGAAACCGGCGCGCATTTTCAGGCTGTTGCCTGATCGTATTTTACACGTTTACGGTCGGTCGGAACTCGTTGATTAACTTCGGTTTCGCCGCGACGGAACGAAATTTAAAATTTTCGCCGCGCGTGAAAACTTTGAAAACTTTCATTTTATACTTCGTGAAATGCGAAGAAGAAATTAGCAGCTTCTGCGAGCGGTACGCGCGCGACGAATAACTCTTCTGTGCTCGTAACGCGAGCAACCCGTTTCGTCTTCGACGTTTTAGCCGCCGGTGACGCCGGTCCGAAGAAACCTTTTTTTTTTTCTTTTTCATCGACGTTTTATCGCACGGTCGCTAATTCAATTTGCTTTCGCGAATCGGTATTAGGAACGTTTCCATCCGTTAACCGTTAACTCTCGAACGCGTCGATCCCGGCGGATTTTCGTGTTCCCTCCGTGTTCGGCCTCTCGAAACGCGGGAAAGAGCATGGATGCACTCTCGCCAGAATTCGAATCTTCTTCCCACTGGGTTTACTTTCTACGAAAACAATCGGAGGAAATTTTACCGCGATGCTTTCACGATTGTTCCCTGTTCTCATAGTTCTGGATTTCAGATGCCATTGAGTTACCGCGCCGACGCCGACGTCGACGTCGCGACGACGCGACCGTGTCCCGCAGCAAGGTAACGGCAAAGGTTACAGCGTCGCGCGCGTTTCCGCGTAAAGGCAATTATCGCGTACGCATCCGCTTCTGCTCCATTCGAGGCATTCTCGCGAGAAACCTCGGTCCCGCGGTGCCTGCGCAAATCCATGTCCATGTATATCGTACTCGTAAGCGCGCGCACGGAACGAACGCTTTCTTCGGGAACGTAAAAGCGAGCAAGGGGTATCGCAATTGTATCGAGCCGTTTGCTCGACTAATATCGAATGGTAGCATTTAAACAGCTCCTAGACCGCGTCGCGGATGTTCTTCTATTTATCGGCCGCAGCGTCTAACGTTTCGTAAGTCTATCCCCCGCGATTTTTCGCTGGAACCGTATTTCCCCTAGTCTCCTGTTTCTGCGGTCGAGTACGAGAAGACACAGGGAACGAGGATGACGCAATCGGCGATCGCTCATCTTGAATTTTAGCTTCTCCATCCGATCCGATTCGATTCGGAAGACGCGAAGAGAGAAGTTCGGTGCAAGAACTACGGTAATGTCTCCCTTACCGACGTTCGTTCGAGCCTTTCGGTTTGTCTTTATAGTTACGAATTGTCAACAACTATAAAAGTAAGCTGCAAGGCTCGAATAATCGTATCTCCTCTTCCCTAATTGCCCATTTTTGTGGACAATCCGAACGTCGGTAAGGGAGACATTGCTGTATTTTCACAGCCGGTACAAAATAAACGTCGCGGCGAATGGAGTCTGTCGAGGGGGCGGATTCGCGGAGAGATAATCGCGCGCGATAAACTTTGCAAGTTTCTCTATCTCGGTCGGTCTCGATGGACCAATGTACGCGCAACGAATCAGCGTTTACACCCTCGCTGTCGCGGATAGCGACCGCTGCAACGATAGATACATAGAGTTTCGTGCGCGTTCCGGACATTTCCAGTTACGAAGTAAACGCGGTAAGAACAGCCGACAACGAACGATTCACGGCCAGCGTCGTCGACGATTTTCCTTAGAATTAAGAATGCAACGAAACGTATGTATTTATATTCTCTACCATCGTGTGTATCGAAACAATGGGAGACGCCGGTTTATTCGATAATAAACTGCAGCATTTAAAACGGTCGTTTGAAAACAAGCGACTCGCGGATCCGCGATTACGTAAACTCGATTCGAACGATTTGGAAACGCTGTTTATGTAACGAACCGCCGGTAAACGGAGTCTGAAACGCCGACGCGAAAAACGTTTAATTCGACCAAAGAAATAATATAGCAGAACCAGCGAGTTAACCAAAAGCAACACGCTTTCCTTTCGCTCGACGCTCCTTTCGAGCGATAAAACGTTCCGATCCGATAAATAGGGAAAGATTATTAGCGCGAGCTCCTTCGCGACCACGGACACGCCGTGTCCACGATTTCTATTCGACTCGGACAACCACGACAAAGTGGTATCGCGCGAGAAGGCGGCAACCAAATTTGAAAGGACGATCCCCGGTAGTCTCCGCGTCGTAACCCGGAATCGTGTACACCGTGTAGGCCTCGCCGAGAATTTATTCCTATCACGAATACCGACGACGGAGGTCAATCCACTCGAAGACGGAAAAGTCGGGATGGGATGGGATGCTCGCTCGAACTGGACTTACTGGATACTTTAGCATCGGAGTCAAAGACTCCGGTTCTCGCTTCGGAGAGAGATATTCGGATGGAAGCCGATATTCCGCGTCTATTCCATCGTCGCGCCGAAGAACGGAGAACAAAAATCGAACCGATCCCAACGCGCCATGGGAAACAGCTGTCTAACCGTTGCTCGCGACCCTTGACAAATCTTGAATACAAATCGAAAGACAATGTTTTTACTCGTTCGTGTCGGCGAACGAAACGATGACGCCAGAGATTCGAGCATCGACGACATTCCTAAGGGGATCGGGCGTCGTCGAATCGACTCGTAGAAGAAACCTTTCCGTTCAAATTTTCAACGAAGCGTTTCCAACGTTGCGCGCGAGTTTGCCATTGTCGCGGATAAAGCACGCTAGGCTTCCATCGTCGCGTATCCCGAGACCCGCTTGGAAATGGTGAAAGACGTGTCCGACGTCCGATTGAAAATTCTTCGCTGTCCCCGTTAATCGTTCGTCGTTAATTCCAACGCCGATTCTCACGCTGCGCACCAACTTTTGTTTATGCACCGTCATTTCTTTCAACCCGTTAACCCCCCTTATTCCTTTTACGATTACCGGATCGACGCGTTTACCGGAACTAGAATGCGCGTTTATTTGAAAAACCAAGGAACGATGTACCGGTTGCTCCGATACTCGCGGAACAACGAACGAACAAAGTTTCTAATCCGACGCGAAATACGGTACCGCCGTGTTCCAATCGTTCGAAATATTATAATACCGGGAAAGTCCCGGTCTGTACCGGTCAAAATATTCCACGGTACAGTCTTTGATCCATGAAATTGCTTCGAAGTCGTGGTACCGTATCTCGCACGAAATACCAGAAGATACCGGCGAAACAACTGGTGGCCGCGTTTCTCCGCGTCAAAGGAACGCGTACAAAATGACCGACATAATACGATTCTTCACCCTTGAACGGTAAAGCTTGAAATCCTCGAGATACGCGACCGATTTTTCGAAATTGTACGACATACGACGCTGTCGGCGATAATTATTATTATCATCGCCGTAGCTGATATTGTCGCGTTCGATAACGACATAGGAAATAAATGCTAAAAACCCAGAGTCGAGTATTCGACGTTGGATCGCCGTCGATATTTACCATCGATGATTATCCGCGGCGGATAGGCGACGGAGGAAGAACTTTTTACTTCTCGGACGGTTCTCGGACGTACGAGCGATTTAAAGGTCAACGGTCCACGGAGCCGTTCGCTCGGTAAGTCGATTAAGAAACGCGTGCGAATCGACTCTGAAACCGGATCGAATTTTAAAAGGCTTCGGCAAGATTTCTCCAGCGGGCGAACGCGAAGTAAAATCCACGTTTTCCGAAAGACGGGGATCCGGATCGTTTTCTAATTCGTTCTCTCCGGCTTGGACGCGAAACCGGTGTGAACACCGTCGATCGCGCTGGAACGGAGCGCTATTTAAAGACGCAGGCTATTTAAAGATGTCGAACCGATAAAGGAAATCGGTTCTCGTTCGGTCGAGAGAGACATCGGTTCGCGCGGCATGCACGGTCGCGCCCCGGGTCTGCCGACCAGTTCGCGTTCGCGACCGCGACCGCGATCGCAGGGACAAAGCGGAAACGCGGTCGCAGGAAGGAGTCGCTAACTTACCACGGCTGCCATCCGATCCATTCGCAGTTCACGATCGTATCCAGAATGTCATGGCACAACGACGAAACAATCGCGCACTGGCGAACCGATCGAGAAATCACCCTGCGACGACACCGAACAACATCACTGGGGCAGCCGTTCGCGCACTCGCTCCTCGATTCGATTTGGACATTCGCGTGTCTCACTTTCGCGACTCGGTGCCGATTTTCACAGGTGTGCTTCCTCCGCGGGCGCGGGCGCGGATCACGGGACCACCGCGCGCAGTGGTAATGGTAATGGTAGTGGTAGTGGTAGTGGTAGTGGTAGTGGTAGCGGTAGCGGTAGCGGTAGTGGGAGCGAAGCGGATCGGTCGGAACGGCTCGAAATAGGTCGGAAATCGGTTGAAATCGGTCGGATCGAGGCGATCGAAAACGAACGGGTATCGGCGGGGGAGAGAGAGAGAAAGAGAAAGAGAGAGAGAGAGAGAGAGGGAGAGAGAGAGAGAGACAGACAGAGAGAGAGAGAGAGGGAAAGGCGAGCTCGAGACGGAGGCGAGAGGAAGAACGACCGAATCGAACCGAACGCGCCGAACGTCGCCGGCCAAGTGAGAGGCTAGCGGCACTACCGACCAGGCGACGTGACGTCAGACTGCCTCCTCTCTTTTTGCCATTCCACAGCGAGCGCCGCGAGAAAGGTGCCTATACAACTCGGTATCCCCTTCTCTTATGTCCTTGTTTGCGAGGAGCACCGAAGAGACCTTAAAGGATACCTCGCGGTGCTGCCAGCGAATATTTTCATCGAAATTCTTTGCCCAATCTACCTTCGGAGCTGCTCGAAGCTCTCGCGGCCACCCACCCGTCCGCGGGGCCCGAGACGAGAAATGCGAAACGCGAAACGCGAAACGCGAAACGCGAAACGCGAAACGCGAAACGCGAAATGCGAAATGCGAAATGGTGCTACGCGACGAACAATCGGGGTAACGGCACGCCAACGGGAACCGGACGGGGTCCGTACTCGATCTTTTTCCTATCGACCACGACCGAGATTCGAATTGGCTCGCTTAAATGGACCGTGGACAAAGTATATACATACGTATGTACGTACACGCGTATTTCGAAAGGTTACCAAACGACGCTTCGGTCGAAGATCGCGGCCGCGTATCGAGCAGGAGAGGAGCCGATAAAAGGGCGCGAAGATTTCTTCGACGAAGCCGCGTCGCGGCTTATCGCGTATCGTAGAAAACGGTAACTGGCCAAGGTAATGGTATATTTCCGAATCGTTTTCACCTGTAAAAGCGTGTTCGAGTATCTAGATATTAGGTAATAACGATCGCGCGAGAGATACCTTCTGGCGCTACGAACGTTCGGCCCGGCTCCGGAGCGATCCGATTTTTCGTGAAAAGATCCGGCCATGTCACCCGTTATATAAAAGCATGCGCGTTCGTCGAGCACGGCACAAAGCGAAGAGCGAGCACTTTCACGCGGAGACCGCGTTAGTAAATATCATGGCCATATTTTCTACGCGTTCGTCTTTATCCCGCGCACCGGTCGCCGAAGCACACGCCTATGCTCCGTCTTCTTCGCGATAATCGAGCGTGGGTCATTACGCGTTCTTGTCGCCCCCTTTGTTCGCCGTTTCTCGAACGAGACCGGAGAAACCGCGCGGCGGTCTCCGATTTTCCATCCTAATCCTTTCCATTCCTCGAGCCACGTTCTCGTCGTTCTCTCGCCGCCGTTTTACTGGTTCGATTATCGCGCGGTCGATCGCGCGAATATCGAGTACCGTTGCCTTTTCGACGAAATTCATTTTCCAGAACGCGCGCGCGCGCGCGCGTTTGAAAGACCGAAGAAAATTTGTCAGGCTCGATCGTTTTTATCGCGGGGACTCGGCGAAACTTTTGCGAATTTTCCAGTGTTCGTAAGAGCGTAACGTTCCTCGAATTGTACAGCTTCGCTTCGTACGTATTCCCGATCGCCCCAGCCACGAAACTATCGCAAACTGCGGAAGCAAGCCGGGTTTACGATCGCGGCTTTTTCTTCGACTTTATTGCATGGCATCCGAGTCTCGGTCAGTGGACTTGAGTCATTGGAAGAAGAGGAGGAAGCCTGTCAAGGAGAACGAGAAAATTCTCTCCGCGCATCCTCGATGGTACTTTTTATTTTCGAGCTACTGGCACACCGTACACCCCCTCGAACCGCCTATCGAATGCATTCACAGAACTCCTATCCTTCCTTCCTTCCGTTCTCGATAGTACGTCGTTCACGGGCCGTAACGATTATTCCACGTCCCGTATAACTCCGCGAGTTAAACAGAAATTTTTAGAGTCGAATCACCGATGTCCGTCGTCCTCGCATCGCAACATCTCCAAATGCGGCAATGGCCAGGTAACAGCGGCGGAACGATGTGGGCGTGCAACACCGAATTTTAATTCTCCGCTAACCGAATACCCATATTTACGTTACAGTAAATTCATCGTCGGTCCACCTTCTCTACCCCCACCGTAACGGGTACACCGATCGCGAGCAACCACGGTTACCATCGAGGCGGATCGCAGCGAATTCTAAAAGAATTTTCATCGACGGCGGACGAGAAACAAAACAGTTTTCGATACAGAAAAATTCCATCCGCGAGAAGAATGCCAGCTGTGTCCCCTCGAACCGCCTGCTGCAACCGTATCGAAGCTACGCGCTCGAGCACCTGTCGATTTTTCGCTCGATGCGTTCGTCGTTCGGTGTATGCGACACGACGGTGTACGAAAGACGAGCACCCGTGTGGAAACACTAGCGGCGATTTAAACGGCGGAGATAGGAGAGGAATAGATTGAGCACGAATGCATAGAAAAGTCGTCGACTGACGCGCGACCGTAGTCCATGATCTTGAGCGGCATTATTAACTCGTGGGAGTCCTTCGCATAATTAACGCCGCGAAAGAATGCGAAAGAATGAACGGTGAAAGAGAAGACTTCGAACCCGAGAAAAATGGAGTTGCTCGCGGGAAAAGGACGGAGGCGCCCCTGATAACAATGAGGGGGAAAGAGACGGAAAGAGCGGCGCGAAGAAAAAAGGACGAGGAGAAAGAATACAAATATGGGATACGGCCACGGAATACGAGCGACATAATTCATGGATTTCTCCATAATAATTAGCGTTTTCACTGATCTTGACTATAGCTTAAAATTCCTTCCTCGAGCTACACGCGCGTTCACTCTTTCCTCGCGAGGTATACGTTGCACCTGCGCTAAACCAAAGACACGAAAATAATATTAAGAACAGAGACTCGCGGTGTGGACGCGAAAAATTATTTTCGCAGCAACGCCGCGAACCATCGTAAATATTGTAATAACGAAAATTGAAAGTGTAAAAAAACTCGTTGGTCGATACGCTGTTCGCGCTTCCGCATTGAATACCGTAGGAACAAAGGCCGCGTGGAATAGGTTGCGAAGCTTCAATGAATAACTATGAATGAAATTCAATGTACTTTCGAGTACAAAGCTTCGCAGACATGTGCGCGTACACGTATTATCGAAAGGATCTTAGCCCCGCGCGAATTTCATTAAAATGAAAATGTGTTGCGTAGCACTTTCTCCCGTTGAAGAAAGAAACGTGCAAACGAAGCGAAAATATCTCTCAACATTCGGCAGCTTGTTCGTTCTGTAAACGAACGCGACTATTTGCTCGCGTTTCTCCACCTCGACGAGGCGATAGTTTCTCGAACGAATAATAATTGTTTTACGTACAACCGTTCTTCGACGACCGATTCGTTCAAATTCCGAATAATTTCGCATTCGCGATAACGGTATCTACGATATCGAGAATTTCTACGAAACCACGAAACTGTGCAAACGTAAATATCATATACGAAATACATATGTCAAATGTATTTATTCCACGCGTCGATCAATTCGAGAGAGACCCGATGCGTGTAAAAGCGTTTTCCGTAACTGTGATCCATATCACGATTGTAGGACGGAGGTGGGTGCAACGCGGATAACGGAATGCCTCAAATACCACCCACGACCGAGATCACTAACATTTCTCGTATGGCCGTTATCCAAGGGTAATTTTCGCAACGTGGGAATCCGCGACCTTTCGTTTCTACGTTCGCGATTAATGCTAACCGAATAGCGGGGAGAACCGCGTTCGGTTCGGCGCGGCGAGACGAGACGATTCTTCGCTGAACTTTATACATATGTATTTTCTCCGAAATCGTTTCAGCGTCGAACGCGAACGATCGACGAGCTTTTCCGAATTCTCAACTGGTACACCAGGATCCTAAGCGACTCCCGTGTGTCTAATTTTCTAGCAAAGGGGTTACATTTTTCATATCTTTGTTACTTTTCGCGCTATTCGAGAATAAAATATAATCGAGAAATATATTAATTATATATTAGTATTATTATAAATATTCGAGAATAAAATATAATATCTATAGGATATAGATTAACGCGTTTTTTGTATTTTTCATTCGAAGTCTATCGAGAGCTCGCGGTACATGTAAATCATTGTATCGATTACGGATTAATACCTGCGCGATATCCGATTTCAATTTATTCTCTTATCCACGGTTCGAACGATACCCGCAGCAATCGGAAGCGTAGGTTCGCTAACGACCTTCTTAGCGAGTTCCTCGAGCCCTTCGAGAAAGGTTCGTTCTCCTAAGGCCTAAGGTTATTATCCGACCGCGTGAATCGCGTGATCAGCGTTGTCTCACAGTCGCGAACCCGGAACTATCTACATATCTTCTATACAATGAGCTTTTACCTTTTTTTATTTGTCGCTCGTCAAGGCGTCATCGGAGCTGCGTTCGAATTGATCGTCGACTCGCTCGACGAGGAACACCGCGAAACAAGTGAAATTGTAACGCGTTCAACGTTCCAAATAGAAAGTGCCGTCTGGTATGTACGAGAGCTTCGTTATTGCTCCACCCTCCTCGACGAACGCGATGCGTACCTGTGGTACATGGAATTATTGTAAACAAACTCTCGTCGTTCTAATAATTTATCGATATATTCGGCCGTTACGCTACGATTCTACAAAATGTCCACTTTCGAATGAAAACAGCTCGAACCAAATAAATATTCTTACCATCGACCAATTCCAATATTTTCCACGTCTTCGAGATTCGTTCGAATCACGATGGCGGATAAGATTTACGCCTCTTCCAGTCGATCGGTTTCTACCGGTTTACGAGTATGTAAAAACACACCGAGTAATTATTGTATAGTTACACAATGAATATTATCCTGGATCCGCGTTGCAGTTGACATTGATCGGTTGCCGTCAAAAATTCAACGTTAAGCTAAATATACACGCGTGAATCAGCGTTAATTCTCTTTGCGTGTCGATTTTGTAACTTCAAAATATGTACAACACGTGTGTGGCACATATGATAAAATTATACAAATTATAAAAGAGAGCATTCGTTGTCCGAACATACTCGAATAAACTTACGCTTCGGACTGGTGGCGATATCCGTGACGCAACGCCTAAACTTGCAAGCAAACGTATCGACGCGCGATACGATTGTACACGCGACAACCAATGGCGTAATAACGCAGCAAAACACCAGAACTTGTAGCTATTTACACAGATACGGATTTAACTATAGACTAAATAGGGTATAGCCTAGGCCGGCAGTTTTTCAGGAAAATTCCACTTTAGGTTTTTCTATACATGGTACAAAATAATACGACCTTAAGTAATTTTACAACCAATTATTACGAATTACATTTGAACCGGACTAATCATCTGGTGAGGATCGACACCTTGTTAGCACGCAAAAATATTTAAATAATAAATAATATATGTTTCCATAAAAATGCTAAATTTAGTATTTTAAATGCTTACGATTACCACTCATTCCTCTTACCTTTTCTTTTCATTGCGAGTGCCAAAAATATGTTAGCCTAAGACGACAAAGATCTAAATCTTCCGCAGTTTAAACCTTGGCTGTGATACCCCACAGACGGAGTAGGTATACGAGTAGACTGGACAGCCAATGCATTCGTTATTTCGTCACCCAAAAATGGGACTTCAGAATCACAATTACCATTCCCATGCCGCGCGCGCATCGTTACCGATATTTCAGAGATTCAAGCTTATTAGCGCAAACGTAGTCTATGCCTGTATGCTGTCCAGTCTATTCTGGTATCTCCTCTGTGCTTATAGCACTAACTCGGTAATGACGCGGTGCTAACTCGTTACCAGATGGCATTATCAGTCAGTTCCAAAATGAACAATTCGAATCGATCTTCAAAATTTTTATACCATTTGTAGAACATATATTTCCCCTTCCGCTTCAAAACAGTCATAAAAAAATCAGTTCCTTACACTAAACAAGCACAAACGTGAGAAAGACCATTTCAATATCTTTCAATTGTTAAAGGATAAACAATTTTAGAATTCTACCACCTTACAATCAATTATCGCAAAATTAATTAAAAAATTATTGACAAACTTCTACTATCAAACTATATATATATATATATACGCCCAAAATTATTGCTGTGACTGTATTTAACACAGGATACCCACCCACGATTTAACTATCAAAATTTTAACAGCATAAAAGTTTGTATAACATGTATAAATAAGTAGCAAACATAGACAATTAATAATAAATATGTAAGGAATACGTGAGAAAAGAAATACAAATTGTACGTCTGAATAATTTTAATGAAGAGAAGTGTATTACATTAATCAGTCCTTATATATAACTGGACCAATACACTATACACTCTTCTTGTTACTATATGTATACCAATAAAGAAGTATACGACGATAGCAACTAGTACTAAACAGTACACATATACGAAAATAAAGAAATATAATGACACTATCAATACTATCAATTTTATGAGTCATTCCTGATGGAGACATTGCACCCGTCAATCATTTTGAATGTATAAATTCTTCCGAGCTCATTAACTGGAAACTAAATATCTCTCCTCCAAATATTTATTATCCTTGTTCTGTTTGCAAGACAAATTAATTTCCCAATTAATCAACACGAAATGTCCGTCCATTGATGACACCGAACTTTTAACACCGCCACGGAGGCGCAGTACTAAATGCAACGTAGACTCTTTTTGAATATTATAGTCTGAGAGTGTCCTCCCATCCTCCAATTGCTTGCCAGCAAAGATTAAACGCTGCTGATCGGGAGGAATGCCTTCTTTATCTTGAATCTTGGCCTTTACGTTTTCTATTGTGTCTGCAGCCTCAACCTCCAACGTAATGGTTTTACCCGTGAGAGTTTTCACAAAGATCTGCATCCCACCACGAAGTCGTAAGACCAGGTGAAGCGTGCATTCTTTCTGAATCTTGTAATCTGAAAGAGTCCTCCCATCTTCCAGTTGCTTACCAGCAAAGATTAATCGCTGCTGATCGGGAGGAATGCCCTCTTTATCTTGAATTTTGGCTTTTACGTTTTCTATCGTGTCTGAAGCCTCAACCTCCAAGGTGATGGTTTTTCCAGTGAGAGTTTTCACAAATATTTGCATCCCACCACGAAGTCGTAAGACAAGGTGAAGTGTGCATTCTTTCTGGATCTTATAATCTGAGAGAGTCCTTCCATCCTCCAATTGCTTGCCAGCAAAGATTAATCGCTGCTGATCGGGAGGAATGCCTTCTTTATCATGTATCTTGGCCTTCACGTTTTCTATCGTGTCCGAATACTCAACCTCCAACGTAATAGTTTTTCCTGTGAGCGTTTTCACAAAGATTTGCATTCCACCGCGAAGTCGCAACACCAGGTGAAGTGTGGATTCTTTCTGGATATTGTAATCTGAGAGTGTCCTCCCATCCTCCAATTGCTTGCCAGCAAAGATTAATCGCTGCTGATCGGGAGGAATGCCTTCTTTATATTGAATTTTGGCCTTTACGTTTTCTACGGTGTCCGAAGTTTCAACCTCCAAGGTAATGGTTTTACCTGTGAGAGTTTTCACAAAGATTTGCATTCCACCGCGAAGACGCAATACCAAGTGAAGTGTGGATTCTTTTTGGATGTTGTAATCTGAGAGAGTTCTCCCATCCTCCAATTGTTTGCCAGCAAAGATTAATCGCTGCTGATCGGGAGGAATGCCTTCTTTATCTTGTATCTTGGCCTTTACATTCTCTATGGTATCCGAAGTCTCAACCTCCAGGGTAATGGTTTTTCCTGTGAGAGTTTTCACAAAGATTTGCATTCCTCCGCGAAGTCGCAATACCAAGTGAAGAGTTGATTCTTTCTGAATGTTGTAATCTGAGAGTGTCCTTCCATCCTCCAGTTGCTTGCCAGCAAAGATTAATCGTTGCTGGTCGGGTGGAATGCCTTCTTTATCTTGTATCTTGGCCTTTACGTTCTCTATTGTGTCTGAAGCTTCAACCTCCAAGGTAATGGTTTTTCCTGTGAGAGTTTTCACAAAGATTTGCATTCCTCCGCGAAGTCGCAACACCAAGTGAAGTGTTGATTCTTTCTGGATGTTGTAATCTGAGAGTGTCCTCCCATCCTCCAATTGCTTGCCAGCAAAGATTAGTCGCTGCTGATCGGGAGGAATGTTTTCTTTATCTTGTATCTTGGCCTTTACATTTTCTATTGTGTCTGAAGCTTCAACCTCCAAGGTAATGGTTTTTCCTGTGAGAGTTTTCACAAAGATTTGCATTCCTCCGCGAAGTCGCAATACCAAGTGAAGAGTTGATTCTTTCTGGATGTTGTAATCTGAGAGTGTCCTTCCATCCTCCAGTTGCTTGCCAGCAAAGATTAATCGTTGCTGGTCGGGTGGAATGCCTTCTTTATCTTGTATCTTGGCCTTTACGTTCTCTATTGTGTCTGAAGCTTCAACCTCCAAGGTAATGGTTTTTCCTGTGAGGGTTTTTACAAAGATTTGCATTCCTCCGCGAAGTCGCAATACCAAGTGAAGTGTTGATTCTTTCTGGATGTTGTAATCTGAGAGTGTCCTCCCATCCTCCAATTGCTTGCCAGCAAAGATTAGTCGCTGCTGATCGGGAGGAATGTTTTCTTTATCTTGTATCTTGGCCTTTACATTTTCTATTGTGTCTGAAGCTTCAACCTCCAAGGTAATGGTTTTTCCTGTGAGAGTTTTCACAAAGATTTGCATTCCACCGCGAAGTCGCAACACCAGGTGAAGTGTGGATTCTTTCTGGATGTTGTAGTCTGAGAGGGTTCTCCCATCTTCCAATTGTTTGCCAGCAAAGATTAACCGTTGTTGGTCTGGTGGAATTCCTTCTTTCTCTTGAATCTTTGTCTTTACATTTTCTATTGTATCGGAGGCTTCTACCTCCAGGGTGATGGTTTTACCCGTGAGTGTTTTGACAAAGATTTGCATAATTAGAAATCTGTATAACGAAAAGTGAAATGTGTAAGTATATGTCGCTGTAAAAATTGTTAGTAGTATAAGAATTTGTTTTATTTAAATAAATGCAATGTTATATTTCTATGTACGTCACATAAAGCGATTCAAAGTGACGGTGCGCAACAGAATTTCTCAAAGTGTAAAATTTTAATGTGAAATTTAATGGCATCAGCGTCTATTATAGTTGTGTAAAAATCTAATTGTGTATATATATCTGTATCATGAACTGATAAATTTGTTATGCTCAGAAATTTAATACACTGGAAACATTTCGAAACGAACTTATTGATCGTATGACATATCAAAATGGTGGGTAGTTGAAGAAACAATGAATTTTCTTTATTATTGTAGTAGTTACCGTGTAATTATGTTCAAAAAAAGTAAAATCTGTTAAAACTGGTATACTTACATGCGATGAAATAATTTACAAGAATGTATTTACAACGCAAGTTACGCTAAACAGTACAAGAACCAAATGACACAAAATCGTACCAAAGCATACACACACTAATCGCAGAAAGTAATATGTACCAAGTAATGCTGACGTCAATGGCTTCAGGTAAGTTTTCACGCGAAATAGTACGTAATACCTCAATCGCGCTCTGTTAGCGAGAATTGGAGTAGAAATTGCTTTGCTCTGATTGACTGACAATTCAATGCCAAGACAGGATTCAGTGTGGATTGGATGCGCAGTAAAATGGTGGGGATGCTTGCGAAAGCTAAAAGGGGTAGAAATATCGTGCAAAACCTTAGATATTGCTGTATGCATCTTGTAGACAGGAAAGATTTCCATGGGTCCGTATTGAAATTGTCAATTTTTTCTTTTCGAATTTTCTTGACTATAAAAAGTTTGAAATATTTTAAAGATACATATAATTTCTTTTTGCACTAATCTGTGTCAGATTATGCGAATAATAACATTTCTTTATAGGAAGCAATATTATGATGATTTTGTTATGAAAATATGTCCAATGATAGCGGTGCATTCTCAATGCATAGATACACAATCTCAATCCTCGATACACAATTTCTACCATTTTTCGCTCATTGTAGCATGAAGCTCATCACTGTCGTCGTTACCATTTTTTCTTTTTAATAATTATAAAATAAGAATATCTACTTCTTCGTACGTTCTGTATTACCAATCCATTGTAGGTGCTACAATATCTTTTCAAGAATATTTCACATTATAATGTTGGTAGTAAATTCAATTCAAAATTGTACAAACAACGTTGATTTCCATTTTTCAAACAACGCAAAATAATCGACAATATCATAGGGGCTAATAAAAAATGGATATTTCGAATGTTACATATGAAAGAAAAAAAGGTGCAATTGTATATGTTTCTTTACCTCAGATAAATGAGTTATGTTGTACAATTTGCAAACTTGACTTTATCGAAGTACATGAATCATCCACAAAAACAAATTTTCACTGGACAACAATGAAATGCCGGTATACTCGATTATAATTGACTGTTTCAGAGATTTGTACAGATTTTTGTATTTATATCTCTAAAACAACTTCTACATTATTATCAATGTAATTTTTCAGATTACTTATTTATTTAGTTACTGATGTAATTGCGTCGCCAATATCAGGTACGGAAAAATATATATTCGTAATTACACGTAAAGCTGTTCATGAAAGTGGAAAATTAGAGAAAATTTTAAGATACTTGAAACTAGTGGTTCGTTGAAATACATTAAAACTATTATTTATTTAAATATGTATTTGTTTCCTATATACAAAGAAATGACTTGTTTTTATCTTTCTCAACAGTATCAAGGACAACGTCCAATTACTACGGAAATTTATAAAACCTGCTTTTTATATACTATACAGACTAAGATAGCACCACTATGGAATAAAGTTGGTCAATATTTTCTTCAAGGGAAACAATTTTTCACTTCTGTGGAACCAATTTCGGCATTAAAAATAGATATTCTTTTTCAAGGTATACAATTTTTAGATACATGCAAGTATATATTTGTATTGAACACTAACGTGAAATAAACTTATAGAGAAGGACATATGTTTACTGCTTCATACAGAAAGTGTTAATATACCATTTGTAAAGCTTGAAGATTTTGTTCCATCGTCTGTGCTATCCCACTTTTTAGCAGATCCTAAAGGATATATTGACTTATCTCACTATGATTCTCCATTTGTATACGTTTTACCAAGGTAATACGAGTAAATTAAATATTGTCTTACATATTTATTAAATTTTATAAAATTTATATCAGCATATAAAATATTTCTAGTACAAAAAGAGGCAGAGTATTATCTGTATTTAAAGAATTTCCGATGTGTACCTTTAAAGATTATGACCAAATGCGAAGACACTGGAAAAATATGGTGAATATATCTTCATGAAAAACCTTAGATAATTCAAATTGTTTCTAAACTTATTCTATAAAAATGTTTTAGTATGGATATTCTTTACCAAAGAACAAAGATGGAATTTTCTATCTTGAAATTAAATTTCCTGTACCAAAATCACATAGTTTCATTTATCCAAATATATGTGTCGCATCTGATCCATTAAATATTATTCCAAATAAAAATGAAGAATATACAATCAATAGATTCGTATTTGATGTGCTTAGAAAATTACCCACAATTTGTGATACAGAATTAAAATTATCCAAGCATACTTTTCACAACAAGGTGAGATAAAAATGTTATTATTTGTTAGAAGAACATACCCGATAATTATAATCCATGATATCTGTGATATAGAAAACGGTACCTACAAATATAATATCCAACGCATTGTCACAAAACAAACAGTTAATTACACCTCTTAAGAGAAAATATGATTCCACCTCGACTGTACCATTGGAATTTCCTACAAATTATGTAAACGAATTAGAAGGAAATGCGGAAATTACATCTGAACCATTAAAAACTCAATTAGATGAAATTCATACTATCCACAATACATTGCAATGTAATGCAAATAGGGCAGACTTTAACAATAAGAACATTGAACATAATGAAAGTGGTAATAAACAAACAATAAAATAGGAACATGCAAATATTATCAATTCTGAAATTATTATAGACAAAATTATTTTTGCAGGATGTTTAGCTGTAAACATTATAGAAACACAAATTACAAAAGAAGATTGCAATGAAGCAGGAATATCAAGAAATTCAAATGTTAAGACCGTTGCAGCCAAACAAGAAACAATTTCTAAATATTTTAAAATTTGTAAACCACTTACTAATAATAGTGACAAAATCAAGGTAAGGTTTTCTTATTTTTTTCATACCTTTCACCTTTGGATTTCTTTCGTTATGTATTTAAATCTTTTGCATTATAATTAGCTTACAACGTACCAAAACCAGAAAGATTTAACATTAAAAGGAAAATTATTGCTAGCTAAACCTAAAGAAAATAGTGAAATGTATGGGCAAGAAATGGTGAGTAACTTTATACCAGAGATTTTTATTAATCTATTGATTATTGTGTACATAATACGTACTATATTTTGTTTAATAGGATCAATACATAGATGTGGAGAAAATGGCAAAAGACCATAAATTGCATCAGATAAAAAATAATATTTTGAGTGAGTGGTTAACGAATCATTTGATTCCACATAACCGTAAAGGAAAAAAAGAAGATCTTATCAATAAAATATTATCTCATATGAGGAATACCCAAATTTTAAAACATTTTCGTGTGTAATTTTCAGAATCATTTTGTAATTAACAAACCGTATAGTTCGTATAATAAAGGCTAACGTTAAGTATATACAACAACATGATGATGAAATAAATGTACTGTACAATATTTGTCCTCGCCGTAGTCAAGTAACATCGTACATATATACTTACATACATGTCCGGCATTTGATATATTTTTTGAAGTAGCAAAGGAATATAAAAGTAATCGGGGCGATTATTACGGGGCAAAATTATTTTGATCATAGAAAAGAGCGGACGTTTCAAAAGTTAAACTAAAGGTTATTGTATATTCAGTATAAATAATAAATAGTTTATATTTATAGTATTTATAGTTATACTTCAAGTTTTGCAAAACTCTTCGGCCGCAACACGCTTCATTAGCGAGAATAGGTGCAGAAATTGCTTTGCTCTGATTGATTGACGGACGATTTAATGCTAAGACAGGATTCAAGATAGAAAAATCGTGCAAAACCTTACACTGTACTGCAAAAAAAAAAGAGAAAATTACACACCTCAACTTCTGTATGATTGTCTTGTTATCTAAAGAAACACTTGTATCCTCACTATTTTACCGCGCATCCAATCCGTAATGAATCCTCTCTTAGCATTAAATCAATGGACCAATAAGGCCAAAGCAACTTCTACCCCTATTTTCGCTAACGGAGCGCATTGCGGCCGTCCAATCTTGCAGAGTATACACATCAGTAAGTATGTAGTACACACATATGTATTTAAATCCTCTCAAATACATAACGGCTCCAGCGTCTATTTTCTGCTGAATTGATTGAATTTTTAGTAGTGTTTGCCAGTGCTTGCTCAGTTAAATGCTTGAAATCACAGATATTATAAGGCATTGGTATTATTATATTACGTAATATTATATTACAGATACCACGGGACAAAAAATTCTGTAAGCAAATTGTTTCTTCTATACCTCCCCACGTCTACGATAGTGCTATTTGTTTATCTACCGTAAAGTGATGTAGAGAACTTATTAGAGTATTTATTAGAAAATTTATGAAATTCACAATTGATTACTCAAACCAATCGAACTATATATACATATACATATATACTTTCAGAATTAAGAATTTACATACATCCAATGTAATGTAGTATGTCATAACAAGAAAAATGATTTATGGCCAACATTTTGTTTCTGTCGGTTTATTGGCATGGTGCATACTCGTCTTTATGAACGAATTCTTTACTCTGTTCATTAAGAAATTATATTGCGATTATAATTATGGCTCAAGCGAAACTTAACTCACAAGACAGAGCAGGCAGTACGCTTAAGGATAAGGAGACAGAGTCTGACGAAAAGGAAGGTATCTATCAACTACCACAATAGTTTAATTAATTTGATAATAATCGTTAACATTTGCTATGGATATTTTAATTTTTTTTATATATTTTTATCTATGTATACAGCTATTATAAGTACCACAAAATTATAAATACATAATCTTAATGTGGAACTGTAAACAATGTGTATGTTAATTTTAGTAAAAGATATTTCAGAATGGTATCTTTAATGAAACAACGTCAACCATATAATATAGATAATTTTATTAATATTTCTTTTCTTAGGCTCAACGATAATACCAGAATGTGCAGACTGCCTTCGGCCATGCTTATATCCAACAAAATTACCTTGCAATCATGTTTTTTGTTACCTATGTGTCAAAGGTGTTGCAAATCAAAGCAAAAGATGTCCTATGTGTCGTCAAGTAATTCCTCCAGATTTCGTAGACAGACCACAATTAGTAGAAATAGAAGACACTCGTGAAGAATTAGATAGTTCTGAAAAAGAATATCATTGGTTTTTTGAAGGTGGAAATGGTAATGTATTATTTCTTATAAAAATTACTTTCATTTACAAATCACAAAAAGGGAAATTGCATGAAATCAGCAGACATAAAATGTTCTACTCATAAGTAAAATAAATAACTAATATAAAAGTAAATTATAACTGAACCCAATATTATAAATATGTTAAACACAGAAAGTAGAGAACTTTGTTATTTGTTTAAAACCTATGACAAAGCATAGATAAGTTTATAACATACCCCTTCATAGGTTGGTGGAAATACGAGTCGAAGATCAACAAGGATTTGGAGACTATGTACAACCTTGGTAAAACCAAATGTGAAATTCGTGTTTCCGACTCAATTTATATAGTTGACTTTCAAAAGCATTGTCAATATGGAAAATATACACCACGCCATAAGCTTTACATCAAACGCGATAGGATAGATGCACCTTGCGTAGGTGTAGGTTTCAGAGATGTGAACATCATCCTTCTATGATCCTTATTATTTATTATAAAATATTTAGAACGCAAATTGTACGTTGCCTGCGGTTGGAGGGTTAAAAACAGCTCATGTAACATTCTACCAATTCAAAATTTTACTTAAATTCCTGAATGTAGGAAAAGATGTATAAAAGCATATATTAAAATTCAAAATATATACATGTATATATATTATTGTTATATAATTTATAAATCATCATTATCCGTCATAAAAGAAGATGTATGTATATTTTTTGTAATTTATGAATACAAATTCAATTTTCGCGCCATTCAAATATATCAAAACTATGGTCAAAGGAACTTCCATGTGGATGATAAAAAGCCGGTGAACCGCCAGATTCTGAAGGTATTTACAAAAGAGAAATTTTGTAGAAAGAATATCGGGATATTATAATTATTAATAAAACAAATTGGAAGAAATGCATCTAATATGGTATTTATAAGGTTTGTATTACTTCTAGTTGCAGCGTTGACATACATTTTTTTTTTTACGCAATATCTTATAAAGAATATCACATCAGTTTACGTATGTACAATTTTCATTTTGATTACAAATATATAATGATTAACCATATATTTTTTGTTATATGTGCATACAGAAACAATTGAAATTCACATTCAGAGTGTTATCAAAATTATTATTGCAAGTATACTAAGCTATATTGTAATGACCGCATAATTCTTAATATGTAGTAAAGTGTGAAAGGGTTACGGGACTTGGTCTGGATAGGCAACGGTAAAAATAAAAGAATACATTTATTGTAATTATTACTATCCTTTTTTATTTAGAAGAAAATGAACGAAAAAATTGATGAGAAGAGAATAACTGAAACAGTTTCATTTTCCAGTTGCATTTTTCAATAACTTTTGTCTGTAATGGTTTCAAATAACAGTTAGATGGGATTTAAAATATTTGTGTTCAACAATGATATTTGACAACTTTGATGTTACAGATTGTGAAGACATAGATCGATCTATGTAATCGAGAAAGATTGGTGCTTCATTTAAGAGGTTGTAATATTATAAAACGTCATGAATATACAACAAAGCACAGAACTGGTCATTTTCGTTACTCATGTTGAGCCAGAGGATTCATTCCTTAAAATCTGGGGCCAAGTTGATAGAAATGCTGGAACATGCGTAGAACGTATGATTCTGCCTCTGGTCGAACAATTTGCACGAAGTCATGGTTGTATTGGATCAAGAGCTGGCTGCTTACGTATAAATGCACTTTGTTGTGCTAGATTTCAAAATGAAGGATATTACAGAGCAAAAGTAATTAATATAAATCCAGATAATACGGTAGTTTTACAGTTCGTCGATTATGGTAATATTGAGGTATTACCACCTCAAGAAATTCATTTGCTTGAAAATATAACTGGTTCCGAGTCTCTAAGGTCTGCTCCACCTGCGGCATTTGAATTTATATTAATGCACGTATTACCGATGAATGGTATCTGGGATAATGAAATAATTGAACTGATCAAGAAAACATTGTGTTACAATGAATATAAAATTTCAATCCAAGCTATAATTAATAATCGTCGCTTCATTAAACTTTGCTTTAATAATGAGGATTTCAGTGAAATATTAATCAAAAAACACATGGCAATAGGAACTACGTTACAAGAAATGTTTAGGTATATATTATAATATTAAGGGATTTTATTTACATTTTTATTTTTGTTACTATTACTTCCTTATTATTGCATAATATTTTTTAGAATTACATTCATAACTTTATGTAATGTTATTTTTATAAACTTTTTAATGTTTACAATTCGATATAACATTATCTATATATATTCCCATATTTTTATAGGCCATTAAAATGTATAAGAGAACCACAAGTGCCACTGGTATATCAGCAGTCAGACAAATGCTTTATAAGTAACAATCGTGCTTCAATGATACCTGTGCAGAATGTAAATCCATTTCATTGTGGTGGAAATGATATGCATGGATACCAATCGAATGTTCCTTTATGTTGCACAGCTCAACAGAAATACATGATGCAGTCATCTGTGCAAGAAGCTCTTGTGTTTAAATCACGTGTTTTAGATGTACCATCCAGACATGAAGTACATGTATCTTCCGTAGAAGATGGTCCACATAAATTCTCTGTACAACTTGAAAGTACATCACAAATATTAAGCTCACTCATGAGAGATATTAATAGGCATTCTATAGAACCATTGCAAGAACCTCCTTTACCTGGATCAGTTTGTTTGGGCCGATATACGAAAACTAAAGTATTATACAGAGCTGTTGTAATGTCTGTAATGGAAAATAAGTGCAAACTTTACTATGTTGATTTTGGTCATACAGAGGTATTACCATACACAGATATTTTCCAACTGCCATCTCATTTTATTAATCCCAAAGTGCTTTCCATTCGTTTTACACTCAGCGGTGTCCACGAGTTAAATGTCACGGAAGAAATGAAAGAATACTTCAAGCAAATTGTATCGGATAAACTGCTTGTTTTGCATGTTTGCTCGCCGGAAGGGCCACCTTTGGTTCAGTACGGAGATTTATATGATAACGGGAAGAACATAAAAATTATTCTTAGACAAGCATTTCCAACACCGACAGTACTACCTATATCTTTTGGATATCAAGAAGCAAGGAAATTATCGAAAGATGCCGAAGAAATTGTACATGTTTCATTTGTGGAATCTTGCAGAAAATTTTTTGCATTATAATTAGCTTACAACGTACCAAAACCAGAAAGATTTAACATTAAAAGGAAAATTATTGCTAGCTAAACCTAAAGAAAATAGTGAAATGTGTGGGCAAGAAATGGTGAGTAACTTTATACCAGAGATTTTTATTAATCTATTGATTATTGTGTACATAATACGTACTATATTTTGTTTAATAGGATCAATACATAGATGTGGAGAAAATGGCAAAAGACCATAAATTGCATCAGATAAAAAATAATATTTTGAGTGAGTGGTTAACGAATCATTTGATTCCACATAACCGTAAAGGAAAAAAAGAAGATCTTATCAATAAAATATTATCTCATATGAGGAATACCCAAATTTTAAAACATTTTCGTGTGTAATTTTCAGAATCATTTTGTAATTAACAAACCGTATAGTTCGTATAATAAAGGCTAACGTTAAGTATATACAACAACATGATGATGAAATAAATGTACTGTACAATATTTGTCCTCGCCGTAGTCAAGTAACATCGTACATATATACTTACATACATGTCCGGCATTTGATATATTTTTTGAAGTAGCAAAGGAATATAAAAGTAATCGGGGCGATTATTACGGGGCAAAATTATTTTGATCATAGAAAAGAGCGGACGTTTCAAAAGTTAAACTAAAGGTTATTGTATATTCAGTATAAATAATAAATAGTTTATATTTATAGTATTTATAGTTATACTTCAAGTTTTGCAAAACTCTTCGGCCGCAACACGCTTCATTAGCGAGAATAGGTGCAGAAATTGCTTTGCTCTGATTGATTGACGGACGATTTAATGCTAAGACAGGATTCAAGATAGAAAAATCGTGCAAAACCTTACACTGTACTGCAAAAAAAAAAGAGAAAATTACACACCTCAACTTCTGTATGATTGTCTTGTTATCTAAAGAAACACTTGTATCCTCACTATTTTACCGCGCATCCAATCCGTAATGAATCCTCTCTTAGCATTAAATCAATGGACCAATAAGGCCAAAGCAACTTCTACCCCTATTTTCGCTAACGGAGCGCATTGCGGCCGTCCAATCTTGCAGAGTATACACATCAGTAAGTATGTAGTACACACATATGTATTTAAATCCTCTCAAATACATAACGGCTCCAGCGTCTATTTTCTGCTGAATTGATTGAATTTTTAGTAGTGTTTGCCAGTGCTTGCTCAGTTAAATGCTTGAAATCACAGATATTATAAGGCATTGGTATTATTATATTACGTAATATTATATTACAGATACCACGGGACAAAAAATTCTGTAAGCAAATTGTTTCTTCTATACCTCCCCACGTCTACGATAGTGCTATTTGTTTATCTACCGTAAAGTGATGTAGAGAACTTATTAGAGTATTTATTAGAAAATTTATGAAATTCACAATTGATTACTCAAACCAATCGAACTATATATACATATACATATATACTTTCAGAATTAAGAATTTACATACATCCAATGTAATGTAGTATGTCATAACAAGAAAAATGATTTATGGCCAACATTTTGTTTCTGTCGGTTTATTGGCATGGTGCATACTCGTCTTTATGAACGAATTCTTTACTCTGTTCATTAAGAAATTATATTGCGATTATAATTATGGCTCAAGCGAAACTTAACTCACAAGACAGAGCAGGCAGTACGCTTAAGGATAAGGAGACAGAGTCTGACGAAAAGGAAGGTATCTATCAACTACCACAATAGTTTAATTAATTTGATAATAATCGTTAACATTTGCTATGGATATTTTAATTTTTTTTATATATTTTTATCTATGTATACAGCTATTATAAGTACCACAAAATTATAAATACATAATCTTAATGTGGAACTGTAAACAATGTGTATGTTAATTTTAGTAAAAGATATTTCAGAATGGTATCTTTAATGAAACAACGTCAACCATATAATATAGATAATTTTATTAATATTTCTTTTCTTAGGCTCAACGATAATACCAGAATGTGCAGTCTGCCTTCAGCCATGCATATATCCAGCAAAATTACCTTGCAATCATGTTTATTGTTACCTATGTGTCAAAGGTGTTGCAAATCAAAGCAAAAGATGTCCTATGTGTCGTCAAGAAATTCCTCCAGATTTCCTAGACAGACCACAATTAGTAGAAATAGAAGACACTCATAAAGAATTAGATAGTTCTGAAGAAGAATATCAATGGTTTTATGAAGGTAGAAATGGTAATGTATTATTTTTTATAAAAATTACTTTCATTTACAAATCATAAAAACGAGAAATTGCATGAAATCAGCAGACATAAAATGTTCTACTCATAAGTAAAATAAATAACTAATATAAAAGTAAATTATAACTGAACCCAATATTATAAATATGTTAAACACAGAAAGTAGAGAACTTTGTTATTTGTTTAAAACCTATGACAAAGCATAGATAAGTTTATAACATACCCCTTCATAGGTTGGTGGAAATACGATTCGAGGACCAACAAGGATTTGGAGACTATGTACAACCTTGGTAGAACCGAATGTGAAATTTTGATTTGCGACAAACTTTATATAGTTGACTTTCAAAAGCATTGTCAATATAGAAAATATTCACTACGCCATAAGCGTTACATCAAACGCGATAGGATAGATGCACCTTGCGTAGGTGTTTCAGGAATAAGATAACCCACATCTATGATTCTTGTACTTTTTAAAACATAATTGGCATAAAATAATTCTTTTTGTACTTATTATTTATAAAACCTGACATAAATTTTCATGTAAAGTTTGTATGCAAAACTGTACAAATTTTTATTACTATGCTATTAAAATTGATATTTAGTCGTAATGTATTTTTGTAATAAAACATTTTTCTCTCAGTACATTAGATAGTTTTCTTTGTAAATTCCCAAGTGAAAATATCTCATTATCGATATCTACATCTATTCGTACAATTTTAAGAAACTACTCATAACTCGTATGTGATTTTAAATTACATTGTTTCAGGGTGGTGGCAATATGATCAACGTACAAGCCATGAATTAGAAACTGCATATAAACAAGGCAAACGAAATTGTGAATTATTAATAGCAGGGTTTCTTTACATCGCCGATTTTGGTTCCATGCTTCAGTTACGTAGAAACGATCCTTCCAGAAGAAGAAAAATTAAGCGCGATTTATATAATGTCCCAAAAAAAGGAGTGGCAGGTTTAAGATTAAATAATCAGGATGAAGAAATTATTAGAGAAATAAGAGGTGCAGAGAGACCTGCAAGTCCTGCCAGCGACAATATGGGTATATTCCAGAAGTTTTCGTAGTATTTGTAAATGTTGAAAGCATTTAGAGGCAGTATATATTTGTAGCTGTATATCTGTATAATTATTTATTTCAATATTATAATTTTATATTTATAGGTACTGGAGATGGTACAAACACTCCCATACCACCTAGCAACACACCGCAAACACCAGCAGGGGGAACTGCTAGTGGCGATGCTACGCCATTGAATGATAGAATGGAACAGAGATCAGATTCTTTACATCAGGTATTAGAACAAATGCGTTCCTTAGTTTTGAGAGAACATTTATCTTCAAATACAGATAACGAATTAGAAGAAACTGAAGAAAGTGAATCTCTTTCCACTCATCCTACGTTATAAGAGCTATGGACACCTAACGGTTGCCATTTATCAAATGCAAATCAACTTGGAATGGATTAATTTCAACAAAATTAGGTGTCATTTCATTATATGAAATATATGGTACAATAAATTCATGTTTCAAAATGTGGAATCTTCGTACATGTAATGTATTAATATGTAAGTTTGTGCATTACTACGTGTTGTTTGTTAAAAACAACACAATGAAGTACAATGTAATGTTTACTAAATAATTATTCTAAGCA